TGTCTGTGAAGACCCCCCTTATGCCATCACCATACCGGGGTTTTCTATTTGGCGGTGTTTCAGTATCCTTATTTGTGGTGGTGGTATAGCATACTGCGTCTAAAATAGCAGGAATTCGGAAACAACCTTTTTTAGGACGTTCGGACACCTACCGCCTACGCGCCTGTCCGCAAAAGGGGGAACTGGGATCATAATATACCAACCTCTAGGATTTGTTACATTTTTGTTAAGTAAAGTAAATACACATTATTAAAAAAAATTATAAAAGATGAATGACTATGTAATAAATAAGTCACAGCATAATTATATTCTATATAAAATACTAGCTGACCCTTCAAACGTTGTTTTGCTATTTACATTATTTAAATATATATTTTTTTTAATTTCGTAAAATCCGTTCTTAGCTGACCTCTACTCGGTGAAAAGAATATTCCTACCAAATTTCAAGTCTTTAGCTCTAATGGTTCCAGAGATATCGTGATGAGTGACTATATACGTGGAAATCTCTTATATATACATAGAAAATATTTAGACACTTAATTTTCTACTTTTAAAAATTTAATTATGTTTGTTACTGAGTCACGCCAAAACGGCTTTCTGGATCTGCACGAGATTTGTCACATAGATAGGTTATAGTCTAGAATAGAGAACAGAGGCTAATATTTATCCCGGCTAAATTTATTGATATATGTATTTATTTTGTTTTAAAAGACAAGCCCCGCTTTAGGAATATATCCTGTGTCGCATGGGACTTTACAAACATATATGAAACGAACACAAAGAACACCAGACTCAGAACAACAATTTGTGGAACACACAAAGTGTAGTCCCATGTGGGGATCGGACCCACAACACTCAGTAGTAGTAACTGGCGTGACGACCGCTTAAACCACTACGCTATCCGTGCAGTCAATTTGATATTTACACAAGCGAAGCCGTTTTCAAAAGCTAGTTTTGTATAAAAATATACTTGGGCTTCAGTGTTCAAAGTAATGCCTGGACGTTTAATGCTGTCGTAATTTTTCTATCTTGCACAATGAGATGTTGCTATAATATTATCACAGGAGTTACGTATCTGTTTCAGACTTACGTTTACGTTGTAAAGTGCTGAATTGCTACAGGGTCTTCAACATGCACCAGGGACTTCCTTTCTAGGGTATACCTGGTTCCCCGGCTATTAGTACCCGAGACGGCGTGCGGTTTTAGTCGGTTCGAGTCCGACATGCCACCGATAGGTGGTATCCGAGGGGATTTCCGCACGGAAAAAAAAGGGTCTTCAACAGGCAACTGGCTTTATTAATAAATGGCAATGACTTAAAGATACCATACGCCTATTAAATATTTTTGCATATTATATCAACGTATTAACTTGACACAAACCCTATACCAACCCGTCTGGCCAGCGTGGTATAGTAGGCCAAAACCTTCTTTCTAAGGAGAGGCCTATGTCGCGCAGTGGACTATTAAAGGCTGTTGATGTGATATCAACGTGGCGTCTCCCTCGAGCTGTTAGTAGCCCCACGGGAAAAGCTAGCCAACTAATTAATGAATTTTTGCAAAATAATTTAGATGCAGACATATTTTTTGACAGTTTACCCAAATTAATGCAAAATGTAATGATCTTTTTAAATACACATAAATAACTGTTACCTATAGTGTACTATGTATTGCTATTAATATTTATAGACATCTTGATATCTTATTGCTTTAATTCTTTATTTCATAACATTTTAATGCATTGACTTTAGTTGCTATTTCTGGATTGTATTAATTATTAGTTGTTTGTAATTTATATAAATAATTTAATGTATTGTTTTTGTATAATGATCTGTGGTATGTATATCTGATCCAATGCAGTACAGAATATAGGAGTTTTGGTTGTGAGACTGTGAGCTCATAATGTTACTTAAATAAATAAATCAAAAAGAAGGATCCAGTAATAATAACAACTTCACACGTCTTACATCCCAAACTAGGCAGATACTGTACTATTGTAACCAGACTGCTGTTATCCATACTTGTATACACACCCACAATTACTCGTCCTGGGTGGGAATCGAACCCACGACCTCTGGCTTAGCACTCAGGGTTATTAACCACTAGACTAACAGGCCAGGCACTAAGTCTTTTGTCACTAATCAAAGCCACAATCTGACTTTTTGTTAAAACGTTACATAGATGATATTTGGATTACATTTGCACGGCACAACGATGCAAGTAGTAATTTCTATTTTTTAATAGTAGCTGGTGTAGTACGGTACGAGACTGCAACCCTTGAGGCCTCGGGTTCGATTCCCGGACCGGGCAAAATTTTATAGGGGTTATCTGTGAGGAAAAATAGCCTAAGTTACTTCCTTAATAGACAGCTACCTAGTAGTAAAATATTATCAAAATCGGTACATCTGTTTTGAAGATTACCCGGCACAAAAAGACAGACGAAAAAGACAGAATAAAAAAGATTTAAACTGGTTCTTAGACATAAGTAGGCTTTATGTATTATTATTAGCTCGTGTGAGCATGAGAAAAGCCTATTATTTGGACATTACAAACAGACACTTTCAATTTTATTCATTTTTATAGATCTCTGCTGGACAATCTTCTTGTTTCTGTTTGTACTATTCTTGTCTTGTTGTTGACATACAAGCAAGCAAGGTCTCGTTTTAGCATGGAGGTCAAACGAGCAGCCCGTCACCTGATGGGAGGGGCTAGTGACTACTAGGCATGGCATAAAATTTAAATCATCTGCGATCAATCATATGATTGTAAAATCATATCATCACACCTGTGACACATCTACAACATCACTGCGACTTATTATTATTACTACACTAGCACCAGACACGCATCATCATCAGCCTATCGCAGTGCACTGCTGGACATAGGCCTCTCCCATTGCAAGCCACTTAGATCGATTTTGGGCTTCTCACATCCATCAATCCATCCGCACCAGACACGCAAAAGGTATAAATAGGCTGATGATGATGATGATGACCAAATCTAAGTAGTGATTTATCACAAGTGAAATCACAGTGACCAAAACCAATCATTTCATCAAGGACTCTAAGGGCGGCAACGCACTTGTGACTTTTGAGTTGTAGGTGTCCATTGGCGGCGGTAGTTGCTTACCATCAGGTGACCCGTCTGCTTGTTTGCCATTAAAAAAAAAAAAAAAAAAAAAGATTTAAAAGTAGCTATAATTCCCGTGTCTAGTGACTACTGTCGAACATGAACATGTGCAACTCAAGTGACACAAGTCCTTTGTCCCCCATTAAGTGGTTTCCTCTCATAATTAGGAGTGGGGGAAAGGGGGTATAAAAGTGGTAAAAAGGTGTAAAAATTTCAAACTTTTATTTTTTATGTAAGCCATTTTTTAATCCACACATAAAAAAAACATCAAAATAAATCCAGTCGTTTAGGAGAAGTTCAATCATTAACACACTCATAGAAGAATTATCTATATTAAGATAACTCTTCTTCTGGCGCGGTCTGTATTAAAACAAGATATGATTTAAATTAGTTTATTTATATTTAAATAAAAAACATTTGCAAAAAAAGACGAACACAAAGAAGAATATATACAAGAATATATGTACACTACTACAAGTTTAGACTGCTAGAACTGAAGGCAGTTCTTAATTTACATACTAAAAATAGCCCTGTGGTCATACAACCAGCATTACTTGAACTGTAATTGCATATACTTTTATTACAATGGAAGGTCAATATATACGTACACCTGGAGGGATCCGACCCATCTATTTAAGGCGCAGAGTGGCTCACCTTGTAGTCGGTTCGATCCCGACACTTTGCCCCACTGCCAACCCCAATAGGGTGACTACCCGTTTCACACATAAAAAAAAAGGGGCAATCCGGGAGTGCTGACAGAAATGTAAACTTATATACTTATACATAGGTGTCGGTAACGGTAACAGAGCTCAATGGTTTTATCACCTCAAAAATACATAATTTTGTTTGTTGTTTAAAAATACAAAACGCGCATAATGAAGTTTTTACTTCAAAAATATACGTATACTAGCTGATCCGGCAAACGTTGTATTGCAACAAAAAAAAAATTAGGGATGGGTCACCCTTACCATTCAAAATTGTGAATCTAAACCATTCCCAGATCCCCTTGAACACACACAAAAAATTTCATCAAAATCGGTCCAGTCGTTTGAGAGAAGTTCAGTGACATACACACTCACAGAAGAATTATATATATAAAGATAGATCTCCTATTACCCCGGTAGCTTATTGTTGCCGTTTACGCATATTTTTCATATTAGTAACACATTTTGCACTTCTAAGTATGTATTACATATTTTTAAACGACTTTAGAAACAAAATGGAGGAGCTTCTCAATTCGACTGTACTTTTTAATGTTCATTCAAAAAGGGGTACAAAGATTTCACTACCTGAAATTATATACAATTATTTACGCTTTGAAAAACACTAGTAGAACAACGATACCGACCATTTTTAAACTGAAATAATTTACATGATTATTGTAATTCCTTCCTACACTAACTTTGGTTGAAATAGACGTTTCCGTATTTCAAGTAAATTATCATTGTTGAGATAATTTTCACGATTTAATCGTTTAAAAGCGTAGAAACGTCTAGTCCTCTCACTCAGTAGTCTACACATTTCCTAAAAGCCATCCCATATGAAGTAGTTAAAAGTGGTTATTGATAAAAAAAAAGTCTATGTGGTGATGAATTAAGATTACGGAGCTGGAGTCTCAGCTTTATGGGTGTCGTAAGAGCTGAATAAGGGAATAAACCACGAAGGAAAACAGCACTGCAAAGAGGAGGAAAGCTAGAAACAAACCCTATACCAACCCATCTGGCCAGCATGGTATAGTAGGCCAAAACCTCCTTTCTAAGGAGAGGCCTATGTCCAATATGTCCAGTGGACTATCAAAGGCTGATGATAACGAACGTGATTGATGAAACACTGCATTGGTACATGACACTTTGTTGCTTCATATTACTAAAGCCCTACAGTAAACCTTACAAAACCTAATCCCTTGAATGTACTACATGCAATTTGCTAACAGTTGCTTTAAAACCCTTCCCGTTATCAGAATATTGGACGGTATGAGGTTTTCCAGTTGCGTCTATGAAACTGTAGAATCCGCGTACTGTTTCACCTTCTCTGTCTTCTGCAGCATGCTTTAGATCGCCAGTGGATTTGTCCTGAAATATAGAAAAAAATATATTAATTATCTATAAAAATAAATAAAAATGAAGTGTCTGTTTGTAATGTCAAAATTATAGGTTTTTTCATGCTCACACGGTTATTTACACGATACCTATGCCTAAAAACTCAGACTTCGTGAACTCCTCGTTCTTTCACCACTCCTCCACTCGAAATCAGGATGTCCACAAACCGTTTCGCATTTAAAAGGAATGTACATAATTACCTTCTCGAGGAGATGGCGGAAGTGACTTAACAAATGGTACACCTCCTAAATTCAAGCATTTACAGTGTACAAACATAAAGAATATGTATTTATATCTATATTTATTTCTATATATATGTGTAAGTATATTTGTATTACATTATAACTTATATGTATAATATTTGTAGATTTTGCTTAGTTTTAGATAAAAAATATATTTATAATCATTGATTACAATCGTAACTTCGGTGCACCTACCATACAAGATTTCTACACCACCTAAAGGTTGGCTGGTAGAGAATGCCCAGGGCATTAGGTCCGCCGATGTAGGTACATAAGTGCATGAAGATGTAAAATAAATAAAAAAATAAAAAAATAAAAATAAAAACATGGTTTTTTTTTTGACTGTCTGTCTGTCTGTTGGTGCCGGGTAATCTTCTAAACGGTTGGACCGATTTCGATAATATTTTACTTAGCTGTCTACATAAGGAATAACTCAGGCTATTTTTCATCTCAGAAAAACCCTTTTGAAAAAGAAAAATTTTGCCCGGTCCGGGCATCGAACGCACTAAGGCAGCGTTTTTCAAATTCTACGCGAACGAAGGTACCAGTTGGTTGACAATATAATCGGCATTAACTGGTCGTAATAATAATTTGACACGTCAAGTACACGGCCTTCTGATCCTAAACTAGGCAGAGCTGGTAAAAATATTTATATACATACATATTAATTGAATCTAAAAAAGGTGTTCATACCCCATTAATTTTTTTGAAGGGTCTAACCAATGATCACGCTATCTGATGGTCGAGAAATCAAATCATCGTCACTTTCCAATACGGGGAGGGGTTGGAGGTTATCCTAAGAATCCCTTAATATGATTTTATTACCTATGTAATAAAATCCTAAAATAAATATGGAAATTATTGCTACCTTTAAATCACATTCATTTGATGAAATGAATTGTTTAAGTCACAGTGATTTCACATGTGATTGTGATTTCGTAATATAGACAAATATTAATGTCATTAAAACATAGAGTAACTCTTGTCCATCGGTGGCCTGTGTTAATCTATGCAGTAAAATCAATCAAAATTCTTTTAATCAAAGAATGTACCTTCTTTTTTTGTTTGGACCTTTCGTGAGTCTTACGCCATCGTAATAATAAGTCGCAGTGGTTTAGTAAATCAGTCACAGGAATGATTATTATGATTTATATATCATATGATTTATACCATGTGATTGTGAATTATTGCATCCCTACTTGTTTTTTTATTAAAGACTACTCTCGAGTTAGGAAAATATCCTGTGTCGCGGGGGACTTTACAAACATACATGAAACGGACACAAAGAACACCCAGACTTAGAACAACAATTTGTGAATCACACAAAGTGTCGTCCCATGTGGGGTTTGAACCCACAACACTCGGCGTAGTAGGAAGCGGCGGCGGCGTGGCGACCGCTTAAACCGTGTAGTGAACCGCTTAAGCCGCTTAAACCGAAGTGTATCTTTTTAAGCTAAGCCGCAGATGGACGGCCCTACAGACAGCGAAATTTTAACTTGGCTTGGTTCTTAATTAGAAATACGGAACCGTAAAACTTGAGATGATTAATAATTTATAACTCAAAATATAAAACGAAATAAATCAAACCAGCACTATAATTTCCGATGTTAAATAAAGGCGATGTAAACACGGTATTATCCAGATAATTTATAAGTGCTTGTTAATGCCTCGTCTGTCACGAATTTGAACTTCACAACAATTTGTTTTGAGGCAAAATGTTCGCACACCGACCAACAGTAAAGTGAAGTTTATATTCGATTGGGGAAGATATTAAAGAATATTTACTGTTCGATATTTAAAATTTGTTTTGGTTTATTGTATATCGATGATATCATTTGTGTAGGAATTTTATTGTTTTTTTTTAACTCAATAAAGACAATGGTGCTAATTCTGTTGTTCGAAAACTCTCTAAACTAAACTAAAAATCACTAAAAAGTGGTTTAGTCCTGTCAAGAAACGTTTCTTATCCTGAAAACGTAGTACTTGACAGGACTAAACCATTTTTTTATGATTTTTAGTTTAGTTTGGAAAATTTCAAACAACAGTTTTTTTTTACAGAGTTATGTGTGTTTGGTAGCCTTCAAAATGCTTACACTCGGCTTGTCATAAGGAACTCCCCCCCCCCCCCTAGATAGATGTAGTAAAGGAATAAATTAATGTAAGGAATTCCGATTATGATTTCAGTTATTAAAACTTCTAGTTTCAAATCATAATCGTATGTTAAAATGATTGGTTTTAGTCAATGCGATTTCACCTGGGATAAATCATTACTGGGATATTGATTTGGGATAAATGAACTTAAAAACTTAAGCAAAGAAAAAATATTGCAGTGTTTGAGTTTAGTAAATATTGAACTATTTTTAGACCAAGATCTTATTGTTTAAATAGATATTTTATTGCAATTAAATTTGAATACGTAAATTACTATGTACTCGTGCATTTAGCGGTTTATGTTTCTATCTGAATATTTTGTGAATGTTTGGTAAATTGAAGATTTCCGGGTGTAAAACCCGGAAAAACCTCATTTTATATGGAAAACTTAGCCTTCTGGTTTAAATACTACATATACTTTATTTTATGTAAAATAGTAAACAATTTAATTTAGTACAAGGTCGCTCTGAAACTGAGCTTTGGTTTATTGTTTTAGTATATAGTACTGCTATAGTGTTATAAATCCTAATAGTAAGTCAACTCAGCTTCTTAGAGGAGCAACGCTGGGGCGCGGTATGAAGGAGAACGGCGTCCCCCTCCTGCCCGCGACGTCTGCGGTAGTACAATCACATGGTTATAAGAATCAAATTAAACCAAAATCTTTTACCAATATTTTCACCAACTGAAATCGCGACACGAAAGAAACTAAATAAAATATTCACAAATGTATAAATTTAACCCGTTTTATATAATTTGGTTAACCTTTTATACAATACTAGCTGACCCGCGCAACTTCGTCTGCGTCTCTCAATAGTAATAAATTTTCTCCGTTTTTGAAACATTCTTCATTGGTGCTCCGCGCCTATTGGTCTTAGCGTGATGATATATAGCCTATAGCCTTCCTCAATAAATGGGCTATCTAACACTGAAAGAATTTTTCAAATCGGACCAGTAGTTCCTGAGATTAGCGCGTTCAAACAAACAAACAAACAAACTCTTCAGCTTTATAATATTAGTATAGATTTTAAACGGAATAGGTACCCGAGATACTGCTATTTAGGTAAAAATTTAGTTAAATTTCGCTATATACTATATTTACCCAACTACCTGTGATCCTTAGATAAGATAAATGCAAGCCTTTGTCTTATCTAAGGGTTTGTTTTGTGACAACCCTTGCACATTTTTAGTCGAGACAGTCTTGTAGGTATGTAGTGGTGTATCAAAGAAGTTCACTCACCATTAGTATTGATTACACATATGGTACTGATACATACAGTGTCCATAAAAACTGGAAAACTAACTTTCTACCACATTAAATTCACCAGAAAACGCAACAAAATCCCTTCTGAGTACAACATTCGAGGAGACAAATTAAAAGAAGTAACCACTATCAGAGACTTAGGAATACATTTGGACAGTCAACTTAACTTTATACATCATTATGATACGATAACTAACTCAGCATATCGAGCCTTGGGTTTTGTACTACGTTCTTCGAAAGAATTTAAAAAGCCATCTACCATGATCATTTTATACAATAGCTATGTACGAAGTCATTTGGAATATTGCAGCACGGTATGGAACCCAATGTACCAAGTTCACATAAATAAAATAGAACAAATCCAAAAGAGACTAGTCCGACATCTAGCTTACCGTTTTGGGGTTAGGAACTTAAGGACTTATGAGGATAAACTAACGTACTTCAATCTTATATCTCTTAGGGACCGTCGTACTATCTTTGATCTAGTATTCTTATACAAACTGTTCCATAACTACATTGACTGTCCAGACCTCCTCAGTAAGATCGGTATAGGTGTTCCAACTAGAATCCCACGCTACCCTCGCCCGCTATTTAAGGTCCCACGAGCCCGGACGAATTTAGGGAAGCAAGCACCAATTGCTAGGATGACTCGCGAATATGACATCATTTCAGTTGCTTCGGAGGACATAGACATCTTTTCTAATAGTCTGGGTAAATTTAAAAAAAATGTTCGCACTCATATATTGAACACTGTGTGATTGTTGACGTACCTCCTTACCATTTAAATTTTGAATTTTGACTGCTGCTAATTTGCAATTTATGATCTACAATTTTTTGCACAATTGATTGTTATGATTCTTTGATTGTTTTTTTTTTCTTATTTACAAAGGCCATTTGTGGCCACTGTCTTTAATCTTTCTTTGTAATGTCCATGTTGTGGTCTCCTATAATTGAGGAAGCACAAGACTTAAAATTTTATTGGCTTTATAACTAGCATGTAAGGTGTATTTCTTGTTGGAGATTCAATAAAATAAAATAAAATAAAAATAAAAATGAGCTACGTTAAAGCAATTATATTCGATACAAAATACCTTTAAATAAAGTTTCGTTGAAGATTTTGAATCGAATTTATATAAGGTATGTTTTTATTTTGGAATTATTTAATCCATTATTAAAAAAATCATGTACAGTGAAACTTGGTTAAGTGGCACCTGGATAAGTGAGAAACCTCCATAACTGGAACTCATGCTGAGGTCCTAACACTTTGGCATTGAATTACCTCTGTTAGTGGGACGAAGCAAACCTTTATATCTGGGATT